TTTAAAAGCTGACATTTTGAGTGTTAGCCCTTTGTCAGAGTGAAACATTTAACTTAGACTATTGCAAATCACAATCTATACTTTTCTGTATGACTGCAAAATATTTCTATTTATCCCATCCATATTGACCTTACTTTAATAAATCTACAATTTCAAATGGTTAAATGAATTACAATAAACATACTATACATCAATTGCACCAAATTTACAATCTAAAACTCACAATAGATCTGAAGCAAAATATTGTCAATCAATGTTTCATATCACAATACTTGATTAGTCTTAAATTCCATAAAAATAACTCTTGTGTCCACAAGTAAAGCCTTTTCCAATATATGATCCAGGCCACCAATCTTTATTATAAACATTTCACTCCTGAGATCTAAATACCAATTCTCCTCACTTTCTGCCATACATTTATGATAATTTTAGGTCTGAGAATTTGGTTTTGGATCAAACACTATCCCCTATAATTGATGCTTTTCTTTCTCCTCATCACCTTTGTGCTTGAAAATATAATGACATTGCGTGGAAAAATTCCTTCTTGGTCATTCCATACAGTGACAGGGTTTGGCCAATTGCCCCTTGAGAGTGACTAGAAACTAGTTTCTCCTTACCTTCTCACCCCTGAATTAAACATCATGGTCATGAGAATGAAGGGAATGATCACTGACTAAAGAAGCTTTTGATTGTAATACCAATTCTCCTTGTTAGTTTCATAGGAAATGTAGAGAGAATATGTATGGAAAATATGCATCCTGAAGTTAGGGTATTAAGGGTAAAGTAGACAGCAATAAGTACATGGCAGTTGTTATCTGTGTCTCTCTAAGCTAGGACCTTCTCGGTCAACCTGTGCATCAATGAAAAATGTCCCTGAAACAAGTACCTCGGATTTTTACCTGATAAATGAAAAGTATGCATTCCTTGTCGTAAGTCCCAGAGTTTCAAAGTTCCATCCTCATATCCAACACTTGCTCGCTTACCTATTACAAATTTCCAACAAAACTTGAAGCATTACAATTATTTCATTGTTGAAAAAGCCAAATGTAATTATCTCAAAACGTTTGAACACTAGAGCAGAATTTTTTATTCTTGGAAATCACAATTCTGTTCTTTTGCAATACCTTGTGAATGGTTTAATCTATAGTGTTTCATCAGGAGAAAGTTAAATTGTTCTTGAGGTCCAAAGGTTGACAAAAGAAGAGCTTAGTTATTGGCCACCAGACATGTCAAACACAGCACATTTCAACAGAAAAAGAGCTAATTAAAAGTCAGAACAAACTGCTCAAGGTGTGGAGAGATGAGTGAAAAAGTAAATCTTGTTTTAAGTTCTGAATCTAATCGGTAAACAAAAAGGCAATTTAAAGGAAAATTAAAGCAATCCCAGATTACTGCTGACCAATGCTAAACTGGAATTGCTCTGGTTAATTTTCTTTACCATCTTTCATGAACATCCCACATGTTGATCGGCATCCATGACCTTGGAATGTCTTGCAATCTGAGCTTGGAATTTTCCACATCCACACATTACCATCTGCTGTCCCGGCTAGGAGCACATTTGCCTCATTGTGCCATTCTAGCCACTGAAAATTTACATCAAGACAATTATTGGAAAAACAACTTCAAAGGAATTCTCACAGTGGTTGAAATGACACAAAAAATGTGGATGAATCAGTTGATCAATGCAAGGAAGGATGGGCAGATGGGTAGGTGAGTGGATATAGAAGGATGGACAGATGAACAGACAGATGAACAGACAGAGACAGACAGCCTGGCTGACTGACTGACTGGCTAACAGACAGATGGACAGGGGACAGACAGACAGATAAACAAACAAAAAGACAGACAGACAGACTGACTTGCTGGATGTTTACAAAAATGCCAGTTTGCCCTGATTCATAAGATATTGGGAGTTTGCACTGTTCAGAAAAGTTTGGACAGTTTTTCACAAGGTGGCCATAGGTAAAAATGAACTTCAACAACAAACAAATTTTTGACAACCTGACATCGACACTTCAACATTTTAGTTTAGTTACTATTAAAAGTAATTTTTCCCAATCACTTTTTTTTATTTAAAAAATAAGTAGCCTTAATGGTAGCTTGTTCTAAAACGTTTAGTCAATTATAACATCATATACCTCTCACCTCTAGGTCTGTTGCCTCAAAGCTCCAAACTTCCTTTTTTGTAGCAACATCCCAGACAATAATGAAGCCACTCATATCACCAGTGGCAACAAATTTCCCATCGTGACTGAAAGCTGTGCATGTTACAGAATCTTTATGACCTTGTGAAAATAAAATTAAGAAAAAAGATATCATAATGCTATACACTAAGTAAATTTAAAAATCCAATTAATTAGGGCAATAAAACTGTCTTTAAATCACTGTTAAGCACTCTAACAACATGAAATCATTAACAAGAAATTATGTCTTTGCTCAAACAAGCAATGTGAATGAAGCCACAAGTATCTTTGGTCTTTTTTAGGTCTAGTCCAGAATATAGGATACAAAACTAACTTCATTTCAAATGGTTGCTGTGGGTAAACTTTAGACCAATGTTAGAGGTACATACTGAGTTAGTAATTTATAGAGGAGCATGCCAACACCTTTCCCAAAAAAAGACAGATGAAGTAATGAGACTAAGTTTAAAATTATAGTCTAAGAATAACTTTACGACAAAAAATATGGTGTTAGATTTATAATTATAGTTAAAAGTAAGGCAAAAAATTTATAACAAATACATAAGGGTTAGCTAGTGTATCATTAAATTACAAATTGAGATTTACCTTAGTTTGGAACTACGAAAATGTTGTAACTTTGTGAAAGAAAGTCTGAAGGTGCCTAATAACATCATAATTACATTTAACGAAAAAATTAACAATTAATCCATTAAGTTCAGTTCCCTTGAATCACAAGTTTCCATTTACCATGGCACTCCAAAAGTGTCTGTCCATCTTTTATTTGCCAAATGTAAGCCTTGTCATCTTCTCCACCAGAAACTGCCACTGAACTATTCACTGGTTCAATTGCCACAGAGAAGATAGAAGCTGATGAAGAAAAAGTAAACTTAAGTCTGTACTGGAGTCGATTGGCCCACCCTGCTGGATTTTATCCCAGTTTCCTTAACATTAATTAAGCTACCAGGAGTATCACTACTCCCCTTTGGATGGAATGCTAGTTCATCCCAAGGCATTTGTAAAAATCAGTTCAAAACTCCTTTGGCAAAAAAAACAACAACAATTAAAGCAACTTTTGGTGATGTAAAGACATGATTGCAGCCCTTATGTTTTCCTGATGGCAAGATATAGTGGCTGATAAAATTTGCTTAACATTATAACTGTAATAATCACCAGTATGCTTTTGGAAGCTCAAGTCTGCATCATCTTTTTCAGCCATGCCGACACTTTCACCATCTTGATCATTCATGTCATCTGTGAAACCAACATCCTCCATTCCAACTGCAAGTCCATCTGGAAGTATAATTTGTTAACCCTTTAACCCCTGAGATTGATTAGCACCTAGTTTCTCCTTACAATATCATCCCTGAATCACACATTTAGGTTATGAGAATAAAGGAAATGATCACCAACTAAGGAAGCTCTTGATTGTTAAACAAATTCTTCATGCGACAGCACCTCAGGAAATTTATTGAGCATAGTATAGAAAGTTTGCATACTGATGTTAGGGTGTAAAGGGTTAGAGAGGGATTTGAAGCCAGTTGACTAAAAGGTCGGTTGTTTTGAGCTGTTATACTCTGAGTTACTGTGGGTAGGGGATTGATCAGCACACATTTTGGCTGAATAAGGCCAAATGTCGAACAAATCACAACAGCCCACCAGAATGAAGAAAAATATCGCAAAGAACTAACCAGGAGTAAGTGTAAACATAGGTGAATCACCTGAGGAGTGGAAAAAGCACTTGATCACATCACAGTTGGTTTTAGTTTTACATGTGGTTGGTTAACCCTTTAACTCCCAAGTTCCAATTGTGAATTCTCCCCTCTAGCTGCTACACATTTCTTTGAAAATTAGTTACAAGAATTTAGTGTTAGATCAAGATAACAACTTCTACCTAATCCATTTAAGTATTCTCATTACCTGTTTGTTGGATAGTGCATGGATATTGAAGGGAGAAGTTACTTGTTAATCACTTCTGGGAGTTAAAGGGTTAAGAAGCTGGTGCAAGTTTTCTTGTGTGATCAGGGAGTCCAGGAAACAACAACAAAAATGATTGGAGATTCAAGATTATCTACAACACTCAATTGAAATTTATATACTAAAACGACAAGGCAGTTAACATAATCTGCATAAACCCCAGCTGAGGGAGGGAGGGGGCGGGGGGGTGGAAAAACAGGAGGGGTATTTAATTGAACAAGAAAGTCACCTTAAGGAACTTAAACCCTTCCAGTGCCAGAGCCAGAAGTGATTAACAAATGATTTCTCCCAGAAAATCAAAGAAATTGTCTAGTAGAGAAACAAGGAAAGGAGAAAATACAAACTTATCAGCTTACGAACTCCACTTAAATGCAATACCAGACGTTCTTATCTTGGCACTTACGAGCAAATGAGCAGGGGTCTTGAGAGTTTTTACCTTTCGCTTGTAATATATAAGGTTGCCGTTTGAGTTCACAACTTTCTATTTATGATGCTAGACTTAGTTACTACAGATCGGGAATTTATACTGACATGCTAGCAAAACACGTGTGGCAGAGATTTTCAAGAAACTGCAAAGTCTTTGTCGATATAACAGTCGTACCTTCCTCTGCTTCATCGTCACCATCTAAATCTACCACTTCTACAAAATCATCTTCCAAGAGCTCGATCTCTTGCTCTGGACTCTCTAGATTATTTTCTGCGTCCATCTCTGAAATATTCTTACTTCGCCACAAATACTCGTGTGCTACTCTGTTTTTTCCCCCAAAGAGAACACTTATTTTTCTATTCATGTACACTGAACTGAGGCGTAACTTCAATTCCAGTCTTTCTCGACTTTACAGAAAAACTAAAATGGCGGATAAAAAGCCTTCCAAAACAAATTTGTTTGATGATCGAGATTCTAAACCAGAGAAAACGGAGAGTCCTCTTGACTTTCTCTGTAAGTAATTTCAAGTTATGAAAGTAGGGTCATTTTTTTTTTCGAAGCTGAAGCAAGATTAAAAGAATTTTAAGCTAACCTTAGAAACAATGATTTTAATCAGCATTTATCAACAAATTATTTTGCAGCGCGCACTGGTATTACAAGTGACATCAAAGATGCAATAACTCTTATCATTGAAAACAGGCCTGAGGATCCAATCGCTTTTATGGCTGAGTTGTGAGTATCTCGATCCGCCAGCAGTGATTTACGAGTCTACAAAAATTGAAAATTTTATGTGTCCATTAACAACATTTTTTTGAATGGTTGACTTAAGTTTTGACAGCCGCGCGATCACAACCACGGCACTTGTGAAGGCCCATCAAAAACTGCTGCTAGCACATCATTCAAGACCATCTTTCCAAATCAACCTGGCAGCAGCCTATAACATCTTGAAACAACAGAAAAGTGAGTTGATAGTGTAAATTGGCCACCGTAAAGAGTTTAAAAGCAGACGTTTGGTTGTGTGTGTGTGTTGATATGCAGAAAATGAAGCTACACTATTGGTCGTCACCATATTCTCACCAACAGTGAAGCCCCATTTTCCGCATATAAACACAAACACAATCCACAGTTCCTCTAATCACTCTGATGAAGGACTAACGCTCAAAATGTCAGCTTTTAAACTCTTTACAGTGGCCAATTATCAAGGCAGTTGATGATACTTAATTACCCTGTTATACTTTCCCACCAACGTAGCACCACAATTTCTTTTGAAACTTATCCCCTTTATTTATATGTTTTAAAAGTACATGACTTGAACAGTTGTAAAAGCTCTAAACCCTTAAACCCCCAGAAGTGATTTACATGTAACTTCTCTCCACAATATCCATACACTATCCAACAAAGAGGTTATGAGAATACTCAAACTAATCAGGAAGAGGTTGTTATCATGATATAACACAAAATTCTTGTAACTAAGTTACATGGAAATGTGTAACAGCTGAGTGGGAGAATTAACAATCAGATCTTAGGAGTTGAAGGGTTAAACCCTGAGAGACTGGCAAACATCTAATTTCACCTTACAATAATACTGCTGAATCATTCATTAACCCTTTAACTCCCAAGATCTCATTAGTAATTCTTCTTACTTAGTTTGGAGAATTTGGAATTAAATGTGAATTGAATACTTTTCTCGTTTCTCGTTACTTGTCTGCTTGATATTGTACACATAGTGTAAGGAGAAATTCTGTCTTGGTCACTAGTGGGTCTTAGAGGGTCAAGATCATGGGAATATAGGGAATGATTGCCAACCTAATAAACTTCAATTGTTAAACAAATTCTCCTTCCAAGTACCATGGGAAATGTATAGAGAAGAGTTTGGAGAATTTAGATACTGATATCAGGGTGCAAAGTGTTAACCAGTGCATCATGGGACAGACTTAGTCAGATTTTAAGTTGAAATAGACTAATTAAAAAATAATTTCTTGTTTCTGTTAGATAGTAATGGTCTACGAGGACTTACTGGAAAAATATACAATGATTTATTGACTCTGTTATGCAAGTAAGGAGATCAAGTTATTACTTTAATCAGTGTTAACTGGTTTTAAATATTTATCAGAATGCCAGTTGTCCATCATCCTAACTATTAATTCACTATCATTGATATTAAAAATTTCTTATTTTTGTAGAACTGGTAAGTTTCAGCCATTACATAGGGGTCTCATAGGCTCTTTAATAAGCTAAAGGGAGCTTAAGTACAAAGGTTTTTGAGATGGCAGCCAGAAGTTAAAAGTTCTAATTCTTGCAGCTCATTACACCTTTCTGGGCAGCACAGTTTGGTTTAAAATGTCTCAACAACAACCTTGCAGCCGATACATTGGTGTCTAAGGGCTCCAGGAGTTTTATTCTTCTTTCAGTTGCTGTCCACATCTAAAAAATGTCTCTGCTTTAGTTTTCTATTGTTTGTAAAAAGAACGCCACATTCAAAAAGAGCATACTCAGTTTCACATCTGCTCTAGTAAAAACTTTCATTTCATGCAGGCTCAGGCTTGTCAACCTATGATATTAGTCTTGGGAAAATAAGAAAATTTTAAAAATAACCTTAGAGTATTGTGAGAAGAGAACACTAAATCTCAAAAGAAAACATGCTGATGGCCAGAGGATGACAGAATTCCTAGAAAATCCTTTTACTCTTAAACAGCAAACAAAATTATATCAACTAACTTGACTGGCAGAAAATATTTTAGGAGTAACTTGGAAATTACTTTATACTGAGTCAGTGCTCTGTTCCAGAGACTTGACCGGGGCAGAATCTGAACCTCTCCAAAAGCGAATCATGTGCTTTAGCCATGAGGTGATTCGCTTTCCAGTTTTTAAACTTGGAGTTTTATCCACATTTATATATCAAGGTAAGAGCAGTAATTCACCTGTGGATGCTTGATTACTATCAATGACAAACTGTAATGAAAGATGTCTTTCGTTTTGGGCACTTTTATCTTGAAAGCTCTGTGCTACAGTTCCTAGATCTGAACTAGTTTCTGTGCAAGTTAATCATGTCTCTAGGATTTCTTTCTTCTCAAATTGACTGAATGCTACTTCTATACTGTACGTCTTTTGTTCTGAGTAGATGTCCAGTTCTAATAATGTTTTGCTCACAATTGATTTCTCTGTAGACTTTTTGAAACAAGCGGAATCACTGTACAGTGAGTTGGACTTAACAGGAAGAGGTGCACATGATTCACTTCTGGTTACTTTTTTCTCTTAACCCTTTACCTCCCAGAAATAATTATTAACTAACCTCTCCCTATAATATCCATCATTATCCAGCAAAAAGATAATGAGAATACCCAAACTCATCCAGCAGAAGTTGTCATTTTGATCTAACACCAAATTCTTGTAAATGATTTAAAGAGAAATATGTAGCAGCTAGAGGGGAGAATTGACAATCAAATCATAGGTGTTAAAGGGTCAAGAGTGACTAACAAATTTCTTTTTACATCATCAGAACCATCATCAGAACCTTGTCACACAGGCAGTGAACTGTAGAGCTGAAAATTTTTATAATTGTTTTGTAGGCAAAGCTGATAAAAATCTCTGTGAAGCAATTTTAAATGAACTACGACAGGCAGTTGTCAAGACAACAGCTGATCCCATCAGGTCAGTAAAACAAAAACTTTTTTTACATCTAAAATGCACTATGGTGGACACCAATATACTTCTACATAAAAGCAGCATGGATGATTATGAAAAATTTCCAATATTAGTCTTCTTTGATTGAAAGAGGGCGACAGGAGGATAGCCCAGGTGCTGCTCATTCTAGATTTGGAGCATTCTAGAACACTGTGATCAGCTCTGATGTATTTTCATATCAAACCCTAGACTATGCATGCACCACCCTTACCCTGTGTGACCACTTTGTGGTTAAACAATTCCCCACCCACCCACCAGAGGGTGGGGGAAGTGGGAGGTGGAATGTGTTATCATAAAGATGTGTGCATGGATGCTACATGCTGTACCCTTTCATGTATCATTTTTTTTTTATCAAGAGGGTTCTTCTTTCATATATCAAGCTTGATACATGTTAATGAGTTCATCTTAACTTGCAGTATCATTCACACTGGCTCCATGTTGAGTTCTCAACGACTCAATAAAGTAATGGCTGAGGTTAGTTGGCAAATTTTCATTTGAGTATTGTTAAAGTAATCCAAGTTGCATTTTGCCCTGTGATTGGTCTAGAAAATTTGTTCCATCCTTTCAGCCAATCAGATGCAAAAGTAAAACCAAACTTAGTCAATTGCTTTTCCTGCATTTGAGCAGTTTGCTTATTTTTCTTTTGAACTCCCATTAGTTTATAATGCTGTCATTCAACTTCTTTTCTTTTAAAAATTTGGCCATTTTGGTTAGTTTTGTTTGAGCATAATGAATAATCACATAACACTAATTTTTAAAAAAAAAAAAAGATGGTTTTTTTTGTTTGAGATGAAAATGGACACTTGAAAATTCTTAACCCTTTAACTTCCAGAAGTGAATAACATCAAACTTCTCCCTACAATATCCCTACATTATTCAGCAAACAGGTGATGAGAATATTCAAACTTATCAGGTAGGGGCTGCTATCTTGATCTAGCATCAAGTTCTTAGCTAATTTATATGGAAATGTGTAGCAGCTAGAGGGGAGAATTAACAATCAGATCTTGGGAGTTAAAGCCAGTGTTTGACCAGTATCACTTTTTGCATTTTATCAGGCATTACTGAAGAGTGGAGCAACCAGTCAGTTAATGGGCGCTGATGAATTCATTGTAAGCGCAGCAGAAATCCTGCTTGAACAGGTTTGACCAGTTTTAAAGCATATCCATCAATAGCAAAAAATCCAGGATTTCTCTGATTTTACTTAACTTTGCTCTGTGGTTGGTCCAGAAAACTCACGCCATCCTCTCAAGCAAGTTGATGCAAAACTCACACCAATCATGACTTGGTCGCCTGTGTTTTCCTGCGCCTTAGTTGGTTTGCTTCTTTTCACTTTGATTTCTCATTGGCTGTTCAGGGTATTTTCCTTTCTTATGATTGGTTGCTGTGAATACTTTGGTCTTGGTTTTTCAGCATTCAGTTGAAAAGCGCTCTAAAAAGTCAAGTCACTGTTAAGAAATTTGAAGGTCAGAGGTTTGATTCTTATGGGAAATGAGACGTTATTCTATGTTCCATGTTTGTGAAGCGACAGAAAACATTTCTGCTTTATAGATGGCTAAGCTAACACTATGAAAAAGATTACTTTTTTCATACAACCCTTGCATGAAGAAACCTCAAGACTCGTCCAATGTTTCAAACCTTCAAGTCAGGTATCGTTTAAATCACCAGTTTTATTTGTGTAGCCTTTTATTAGTTTTGTGAGTAAACTTACTTTATGTGTGCATCATTTGTTTTTTTCATCAGATACCAGACTTAAGATGACCCTGGTGACACTGTGGGGAATTACAACAAAAGATACACCCTTAATCAGGCAAAGTGGCACAGGACAACCACTCTACATCAGTGGATGAACTTCCAGGTGATAAGATTATTGCCACAGGCTAAACCTAAGCTCACGATGTTTATCAAAGAGTTTGCTAAGTGACGGATCCTCAACACACCATGGTCATCGCACTAATGCTACTTGCTCATAAACTGTTCATTCAAGAAAATATTTGCCACCCCTATCGCAGCATTTCAATCATCATTTCGCAGTCAATGTGTGTTTTTCCAACATCCTGATTTGTCACGTTAGGGTTTTGATAGTCTCAAACAGGAAACAAGACTCTCTTGGAAAGTAAAGGAAAGAATTCTCTGCCTTTGATTGTTATTATACAACAGTACAAACTGTCAAGATGATAGATTGACATTTTAAAATGTTTGTTTAGTTACATGTAAAACCCACTTCTAACTTTCCATTGTACCCAGGGTAATTCTAAAGAGTGACCAGCATCTAATTTCTCCTTTCAGTGATACTGTTGAATCATTTATTGAGGTTATGAGAAGAAAGGAAATGATATTCAACCTACAACACTTTGATTGTTAAAAGAATTATTCTTGTCTCTACCCCCGATAGGAAATGTGTAAAAAAGGGTACAGAGAACTTCCATAGTGATGTTAGGGTGTGAGCAGGGGGGAGGGGTGGGGGATTGGATAAATTTCAATACGACGGCTGTCACTTTCAAAGGCAAGTCCTCCCCATTCCTCACACATATCCTTTAACCAAAATCTGCACTCTATTTAGGTTACAATGAGAAGACAAGAAATTAAAATTGGGAGAGAAAGAAATGATAGGACTTTTTTGCATTGATAAATCAACACTAATCATCAAGCAATACTGTTAGACACTGAATGAACCACATTTGATCATTTTAACTACTTTATTCAAAAGCTAAAAGATACTTAGATTAAACAAGAATTTTGGAAAGACACTTCATTATAGGGCTGTACAATCAAGGCAGTGCTCCGGAAGAGTCTAAGTGCCACAGGCCACCAACTTTTCATGGGGCAGGCTACCACCAATTTTTGAGATCAAACCATTCAGGCAATAAGAGATCCTTCCAAGAGCACGGTTGGTCTACAAACCTAAAAACTGGTCCTCACCCCTCCCCCCTCCGCACAAGAAGGTCATGCAGGCCATGACTGAAACTAGTAAGGAGTAAAAAGCTGCCCTCTTCACCATTGCCGTTATCCATTGCAACCATAATCTTTTGCACAAGTCTTTTCCTTTTTATTTAAGAACAATCAATTCTTATATGTAAAGTAATTGATTTCACTCATTGACCTCATTGTGCAGTGAGGGTGGGGTGGGGTGGGGAGACTTTATTCTAAGAAAGCTTCAGTAGCCTGAGGAAAGTCTCAACAGTGATCATTTAAGATTTGAAAACCTGCATGTTTTCATCAAATTGGTAATTCTCATCCTTTGAAAGAGCACTGTCATTTTCAGAAGTGAGTCCTCCTGACTCAGCTGCTTGCCCATCCATTTCGAAAAAACTATGATTTGCTACCTTGAATAACCAAACATAAAAAGTGCTGCTCTAAAAGCAAGGTTAAAATTAACTTTTAAGCCATAAATTACATCATTGTTGCATGATATCCTAGAAAATACACCAATCAAAAGTTAACCCTTTAACTCCCAAGATCTGATTGTTAACTCTCCTCTCTAGCTGCTACACACTTCATTGCAAATTAGTTACAAGAATTTGGTGTTAGATCAGAGTAAAAACTTCTTCATGATAAATTTGAGTATTCTAATTACCTTTTTGCTGGACGATGTATGAATATTATAGAGAGAAGTTGCACGTCAATCACTTCTGGGAGTTAAAGGGTTAATTTCATAAAGTAAAGTGTATTAATCCTTTACACCCTAACATCAGTATGAATATTCTCCCTACTGTTCTCTATACATTCCCTAAGGTGCTGACAAGGAGAATTTGTTTAGCTGTCATGAGTATCTTTGGTTGGTGATCAATTCCTTTATTCTCCTGACCCTATTGCTTGTTTCAGGGGTGACATTGTAAGGAGAAATAGGATCCTAGTTACTCTAAGGAATTAAAGGCTTAACTAGATACCTTACTGACTCAACTAGATACCATCCTTAATTATAATTTTTAATCTCAATATGTACAAATGAGCTTGATTAAACGTTTTTTACTTAAGAAGCAACAATATGAAACTACATCAAATTAAATACAATTAAGTGGCGTCGAAGTTAGACAAAGACTATGCAGAAGTTCTGTGTAATGTGCTATCAGAAGCCTCACTTATCAGATTTCAATAGCCTTCATAGATCATATAAAAATCCTTAAACAGTAATACTTGACTACCAGTTTTTCTACCAAAAAATCATAATTGAAAACAGAAACTTACATGTACCGAACGTAGAATCTAATGTTTCCTTATCTGCATCAAAGGCTCGACCGCTGATGCTCTTCATCTGATTAGATGTAAAACATTTTTGGAATAAGTTTGACGCAACTCTTTAAGGACTATTGATCAACGTCACAAGCTAACTTATAAACTTTGTTCTCTCCTACGCTGATCATAAGACAGCCAATATAATATAACAAAGCTACCCCACAAATGTCTTGCAAAGGAATTAAGTTGTTCCCAGTCTTCTTCATAACGCGCGCTGTGTGAGTTTTCAATGTTAGGAAGAGGACTGGGAAGAGTAACCTACAGAAATGAAGGAAGTCTCCTATGTAGAGTGAAAAAACTTGGCGGTCAACATCTGCGTAAGCGTGTACGTTGAGAGGGCAATGCTGGAAGCGGCGAAAATGGCCCTACATCTCAATTGCAGGGTTTTTTTATGGCAAAGTTGAGATCGTGTATATGTTAGTACACACAAAGTTGATTAAAACAGCCTCTCAAGCGAAAGGGAGAAGAGTGGTTGTATTTAACAGTATTTTCAGTTACAGCTACCTTATAACTGCCACTTGACTTAGTCTTGCGGATTGACCGTTTGTCTCACTCTGCATCTGTTAAAGACCTATCTGCTAAACGAAGGCCGTGTAAGGTTCGCCTGGAATGGTTCGCTTAAAGTGTATCAACGGTCAGTCAACAAGATCGAGTCGAGTTGCAATTGTAGTATGAATTAAGTTAGGAATACAGCCAAGTGAGATTCCTCCGGTCCTTGTGTTCCAGCAAGAAAAGCTTAAAAGAGTAATAATGTTTTTGGGAATTCAACAAAAATACCCCTGACTGAATAAGCTTTGAGTCAAAAAAGCCCCAAGTTTTCCTTCTAGTTCTCCTTTTCCCTATTTATGTTGCTATTTAAAGATTTTTATGAACGTGTCAAATTTTTTCGTCCATTTTACATGACACCTATTATTTTTCATGATTACCTTTAAGGGAGAATTAGCGCGCAGCTGGTAAAAATTGATCCGCGTATCCGACTGAAGACCGTGGAGCTAAACCGGCATGAAAACATTTTTCTTTCACTATATGCTTATAACTCCTGACCTAATGTTGATGTTTATTTCATTCAAAGATCTGAATACGATGGTTATCGTGATCACATACAGCAATTCGGTCGTTACTTAAAATTGCCAGGGACGTAGGAAATTTAAACTCTCCTAAACTGCTACCCTTTGTTCCAAACTTGCCAATAAACTTACCATTGGGCTCAAACACTTGTACTCTGTCATTACTTCCATCACAGATCATCAGGTGTCCTGATTTGTTCACTGCTATAAAACAAGGACCGCGAAATTCCCCGTCCCCTCTACCTTCCTTTCCAAACGCGTATTGAAAGTTTCTATTCCTGTGAAAACTTTGATACAATCTTCATCGTTGTCTGACACTACGAAATATCTATCATACTGAATACAATGGAAAGGCGATTTAAAAAAGCCCTGCCCGCCTATTTTCATAAGGAACTTTCCATCGGGAGAAAAGATTTTGATTCAGCTGTTTCCTCTATCAGCAACGATCACATTACCGTCACTGTCTACAGATAAACCCAAAGGATCATTGAGTTGGTTATCAAGATGTCCACGGCCACCAAAGCTTCTTACGAACTCACCCCTCCCATTGAAAATCTGAATTCGACTCGAATTGTCCGCGACAAAAATATTCCCATTATTATGAAAAACTATTCCTATAGGATATTCAAGTTCTCCCGCTTCGCTACCCCAACGACCAAAGGATCCTAAGTAATTTCCATCACTGTTAAAGATTTTAATTGTGTGATTGAAATTATCAGAAACAGCTATCTCATCCCTGGCATTTACAGCCAGCTCAAAAGGATTGTTAAGCATATCTAAAGACGAACCTTCCTCACCGAAAGTTAAAACAGGTTTGAGTTGAAATGGTTTTACGAGTACGAGAAAAGGACTCTGGTGAATATGTTCCCCGTTTACCTGTACACTCACTTGACACCTTCCTTGATATTTTGGAGTATCACAGTCATTTATTCCTACTTTCGTCGTGCATTCTCGTCCTCGTTCGTCTCTGATCTCCACTGTGACACGGTCACGTTTATCGTAACACTGTTTACCACGACCGTTCCTTGAGGTCAAAGTAAATTGTGCCTCACGGTTTACAATTCCTTCTTCAATTCCTTTGCCTTCGCAAATAAAATGACTTGCCGTAGTGGGTTGCAAGATTTGCAAAGTTCCAATGTCATCAGTTTTGACAGTCTCCAACAGTTTTATATTTTTCTCGAAAACGAAACCAGCCGGGAGGCTTTTGTTGTCACGGTCAATTGGCGCGGTTTGATCAACTCCTTCAAAAATGGTATCTAATGATTTCTTTGATTGAACGATTTCAGCTACTACGAGTTAAAAGCTTATCAGCGTTTTCCAGCGAAGATTCTATGGCCGTGATTTGCCGTTGAATTTCGGTTTTTCGCTCCGTTACAAGATCAAGCGATCTCCTCGTTTCTTTCTCCAACGATGATAGTATATTCTGCCTTTTCGCCTTAATAACGGCCACGAGGTTGTCAACAAGTCTTTGAACATCTCTCTTCACGTCTCCGCCTTGCTGCATCAGTTTGGCGAACTCTTTATCAAGATCAAGTCGATTGGCGGTTTTCATCTTCGCTTGCAAATTGCATCTCTGCTTTTCAACCAACGACTTCATCTCACTCTTCTGTATTTCTGCCTCTTTAGTCCCTGACTAATTTCATAATATGGCCACCGTGGTCAAATGTGACACAAATTTGACAAACTGGTATTTCACAGGTCTTGCAAAAGTACTTCAGCTCTTCTTTGTTGTGATCTTCCTTAGGACAAAAGGTAGGTCGTTTCATTACATCCTCATAGTCCTTGTCTTGAAAATCATTGAGCGCCAGGACACGGTGATCTTTGTAGCTTTTCATGATGCTGTGTCAATTACGCACTCTTGGTAATCATTACAATAGCAACTTTCCGAGCTTATCTAGTCGCAATTTCCACATTTCAAAGAGCAATCTCCCCTCTTTCGGCATCACCATGGGCAGCAATGTGTATCAGGCTCACTGACTTCATCGATTGGAGTACAGAATGCTTTGTAGCGGACTCTCCTATCAAAGGCCTTACGCCAAGAAGTGTTCCAATCATCTCTGCTTCCTTTCTTGCACACATAACTTGTTAGTTAGAACAACTTCTTCAGTCTCCGGACCCTTTCCAATCCAAGTCTTTTCAAACAGAAAGAGCTGGTTTTTGCCAAAACAAAGGGTCCCTCATTGAAAATTCTGGTGTGCGAGATGTGCCTTCTGATTTGTTATTAATGCCAGAAGGAATTTGATCATTT